GGGTCAAATCCTAATGAGAGAGGTGAGACAAGCAAGCCCCGAACTCACGACCGGCTGCTCACCGCTCGAGCACTCTGCCGTCCGACCTACGGCTCGGTCCCAACTTTGCAAGGACTATGAGTACATACTGTGCGTGCTAATACAAACTGTATAAAACACGTGTGATAAGGCTGGGATTAAATTACAGTATAATATAGGGGATTTATATTTGGTTTTGTTGAAGAAACCGCAGGTTGGTTAAAAAAAGGTAGGTTGATCCAAGCTATATATGCCCCTTTTTTCGCCATCTTATGAGAAGCGTTTAGTTTTAAACTTGATTAAGCGGTGGTTGAGGTTGAAGTTGAGGTTGAAGCTGAGGGTGATTAGCATGTCCTTGCTAATAATAATTGCATGTGGTCCATCTTCTGAGCTACGCATGTTTCTTTTATAACATGATTGGTCCTGTTCTGCAGCACTACTTCAACAGTATTTTTCAGCGAACGAACAGTTTTTCCTCCTATAACATTTCAGCATAACCAAATTATAGCAAAACAAACAAGGCCAGTATATAATATATTCTTAAGGATATATTTTATTATCTTTCATAGTTAATAATCTCTTTGTTATTATATTTTTACATAAAGATAACTGAAGTGTGCAACATTATGAATTTGGTTTTGAAGACACAAATTAATCTAGTGTCCATTCTACATAGTCAGGAAGAGAAGCATAAACTTTGTTTGAGAAAGTCGACTAAATAGTGTTAGCTAGGAAGATCGATCAGAGTTTGTTCTTATATATTGATTCAATTGGCCGGATCAAGTATACATACACATGTTGTAAATTAAATGATATACAAGGCCTTGTTAAGTTATTATTAGTATGAGGACGAAAAATCAAATTCAAGTAAATTGCGCTATCTATTTAAATATTTTTATATAAGTAGATTAATTACTCTAGTCAAAGTGGCGGTGCTAGAACCGTGTACAACATTCCCTTGAACCAAGTTGACAAAATAAAGGAACACCAGGGGCGTCTGTTTGTGAAAATGCCAATAACCAAGCTAGAGAATAATAAGTAAAATGAGCATTCCTATCTTATCCGTGTGAATGGATTCCGTTCCATACGCGTACCACCCACTACACGTCAAGATGATACACACACACATAAAAGCGAGATGAAGCTGGTGACTCAGATAGTAGCAAGCACTTATCCAGTTGGTTATCCCTCCACGTACGCACCAGGTGTGAAAAAAGTTAGATACATGACATTTGTGGTTCTTGGAAGTATCAAAACTGGCCTCAAGAATATCGTGTTTGTATCATTTATTTATAATATGATGAAAAAATTTACTATATATATACGGTCCTATATTGCAATGCTGGCGATGGGTAATCTTTTTCTTCCGACGAACGGCCACGAGGCAATGCATATTTCCCTGACAAAAGAGAGGCACTGCACTATATGCAATTTACCGGCAATTCCCCTATCCATGTCATTTCAGGCTTTTTCAGCCATCACGTATGGAGAGACAATGTGGCAATCACTTATATTCACATATAGTGGACTTGTAGAATATGGCTTTCAACATCGCTGTTCAAATCCCTACACCTAGTCTGGTATCTGTATTTATTGCAGATTTGCAGTCATTTTCATTTAGAGAAAAAGCCCAAAAAAATTATGTAGTGAAAGGTATTATCTCATCTTGCTCCACCAAATAAGGACATCCAATCAGAGTGTTTGTTTATTTGTTTTACGAATCACATCGTGCAGAAGCAAACATACTTTGTTCGGTTGGCTGGTTCGTTTCGTTGCTGGTTCGTGAAGAAGTACTGCTGGCTGGTTTGTGTGAGAGAAAAATACTGTTTCGGCTAGAAATTTACGATCGTTTACGACAAGCCACAGCCAAACGAACATGCTGTATACTGATTCTAACAATGTATGCCAAGTTACATCAACGAATTTCACCACTTTAGATGGTAAGAGCATCTCTAGCAGGCAACAGACTACCAATCATATATTTGGATAGTGGAGGTAAAAAAACGCACTCCAGCAAAGTACCTACTAGGGCCTCTATTTTTGGGGCGTGGCTAGCGCCCGGACGTCTAGACGCCCACGCCTGCCCGGCCGCGCTGTCCGCCCTGATTGCTACGCCTCACCTCCTCCTGTGTGCCCGCCCCAGCGCCGAGCACCCACCTGCACGCCCTGTTGCCTCAGTCTCGCATGCGCCATTAGCGCCCTCTCTTTACTACATGCAGCTACAGGAGTGGCAACAATTTTTCCTCTCTATGCACAGTTTCCACGCGAAATTAGTGTGCTCTACTCATGAAGAAATAGAACGGCGCCTGCCCCGCATGCAACTATTGCGCCTGCATGCCCGCCCCCATGCTGCAGCGCCTGCACGCCGTGCACGTAGGCCTGCAGCTGCGTGCCACATGCCTGTTAATGCGTATGTAGGTGGGGACCACCCACGCCCGCTTCACTTGTCACGGACATAGGGACCGCTACGCCAGTGGGGACCGCCTCTGTATGCATCCGCTTCCTACGCCTGCTAATGTTGCAACATGAAGCACTTCTACAACATACGTGTGAAACAGGTAAAACATTTATAAACATACGTATGCAACATATGTGTATAGCAACTGTAACATCCGGATAAACTTTACAACATACGCCTGAAATAGATAAAATATTTTGAATAGACGCTTGCAAGACATGTGTATAGACACTAAAACATATGAAATATTTAGATAAAAACACTTACAACATACATCTGAAACAGATGGAACGTTTGAAACATACACTTGCAACATACGTGTATGGCCATGCAACATATGCAGCATCCATATAAACCACTTGCAACATATGTTTGAAACAACTGAAACATCTGAAACATACACTTGCAACATATGCAACACCAGATCTACTTTTGCAACATCTAGATGAAACATATGCAACATACATCTGAAACGCATGAAACATACGGTTGCAACATGTACTCATCTACTTGCTGCCGCCCAATGGAGACTAGATGACGAGGCGCGGGGGAGCACAGCGCAAGGCGCAAGGCGTGGACGGCGCGCAGCGCAAGGCATGGGTGGGGTGCAAGGCACGAAGCACGAAGCGCAGGGGTGGGTCCGGTGCGAGGCGCAGGGGCGCACGCCGCGAGGCGAGAGGTGTGCGGCGCGAGGTAGGTCTGTCCCGTCTGTCCGAATGGATGCCCTGAGGGTATCATTGTCGTTATTTTTGTTGCCCCCCTGTGCCCCCCCACTACCCACTTTTGTTGGGCCAACAAGTGCGTACCTATTTGTTTTCCTTCCATCTCTTTCCTCCCCATGCAACTCTTTGCCCGCGGTGGCGTCCTTTTTGGCGCGACCCCAATAGTCGCGACTCTTCTCTTGGTGGCGCCCTCGTTCCCCTCCCCGTCGACAGTGTCATCCTTCGTTGGCCTAGTTCATCAATGGCGACAAGGAGAGGAGTATGACATGTGGGTCCCATATGTCATTGATGGCTAAACGAAATTGAGAGCCATGGTTTAGGTAGTATTGCTAGAGTTGGAAGAAAAAAAAAGTTGGATAGTATCAAAATAGATGGCTACTCAAACAAGCAAATAAAGAGCTTGTTTTGAGTAGTATTGCTAGACATGCTCTAAACAAGAGTTTCGAGAATCACCTAAACCACCTACTTAAATTAGAAAGATTGCATGGAAGCCCCAGCCGGGAATCCAAGTGTGGTCTAAATTGGTCGAACACAGATAATCTAGACAAATTAAGAATCGAACATATTTAGAGATGCGTCATTTCACAAAGTACAAGATTTTGTTTGCAGCAAATAGCCTTTCCCCCCATTATAATAGGCAAATAAATGAGCCTTTTTCTTTCTTGCACACGCCAATTTGGAAGAACACATGATTTCCTTTTTAATAATCTGTTATTATGGCATACCCAAACTACCCTGAACAAAACCACCGCTCTTATATAAATTTATTATTATTATCTATTTATTATATTATATATATAGATACGACAGCTAGCTGTTAGTATATCAGACAAGTGTCTACAGCCTCCATCCAGCACGGACCCCGGCCTGTCTCTTCTTCCCCATTACCCCGACCAGCCCAGCGTGCGCGTTCTCTCCCTCTCTCCCTCAATCTCGGCGACGACTGGGCGACCGACCAACCGTCGCTGCCCAACGCCAGGTGCCAAGGTCTTCTTCGGAGCCCTTCGCCGGCGACGAGCTCCACCAGGTACGCCCGCCCCTTTGGCTTCCCTTCCTTCTGTGCGGAACCGAGCACCCAATTCTTAGCTTAGGGGTATCTGTGTTCGGATCTGATCCAGTTACAAGTGTATATGCATGTATTATGCCTACTACCTTCGATTGTTTTGCAAAAGTTATCTGGCGTACATGTGTACACACATGTCCTTTGCTGGGTCTGCCCCTGCGCGGCACCACCTGCTTCTTGATGAAATCAAGTTCACCAGCTTAGAGTCAATCTGTTGTTAACTCGGTCAAGTTTCTTTGATGACTGCAGGCGTAAGAAATGGATGCTACTGCTGGCTAATTCTGATACGAATTTATATGGACATAGGTATTCATCTCCTTCCTTTTCTCTCTCTGGAAATGCCTGGCAACTAGTACGATTTTCTTCCAGCTAACATAGCAGCACGTTTCATTTGTTTCTCTAGATATTGGGGCCATGTGTAAGGGCGGAAACTGTTTCTACCGCATCAATAAGGAGAGCACTGCTGAATCTACAAGGAAGATCCATTCCACAGTCTTGTGCGATCGGATGGCATTTGATACAGCAAGGGCAACGAAAACAGAGGCATCAAAGTTGAAGAACCTAATCTCGGCATCATTCAAACCCTTGTCCCTGACCATTCCCATCGGCGACGGATTCCACGAATCCTTCCCTTTCAGCCATTGTCATTTATAGTAGAGAAGGGTCTATAAGTAAGCCGTTATTCTTATTGGCTTGCAAGAGGAGGCCAACGTTGAGGTGCTTTCTGCTGCATCTCATAATGCTTGCTGCGTCACAACATCAGCTTGCTCATTCGCAGACGTGCTTCCAAGCTAGGATGCAGCTCAAGCCTCCTACAAGACCCAAACTTTATTCAGGGCTTGTGCCCCAGGAGGAATTCGATTCAAACTGTGATCTAATACCAGGCTTGCCTGAAGACTTGGCAAAGATATGTCTTGCCCTTGTTCCTCGTACTCATTTTCCTGTCATGGGTGCAGTTTCCAAGAGGTGGATGTCGTTTCTTGAGAGCAAGGAACTCATAGCTGTGAGGAAGGAGGTTGGGAAACTTGAGGAGTGGGTGTATGTCCTGACTCCAGATGCTGGCGCAAAGGGGTCGCACTGGGAGATTTTAGAGTGTTCAGGGCAAAAGCAGAGCCCTCTTCCGCGAATGCCTGGACTAACCAAAGCTGGGTTTGGTGTGGTTGTTATTGGTGGGAAGCTCTTTGTTATTGCGGGCTATGCTGCTGACCATGGGAAAGACTCTGTTTCAGATGAGGTTTATCAATATGATTCTTGCCTCAACAGGTATGCTTGGGTTCTCATAAGTTTATTATACTATGGAAGATTCTGTTCATTTCTAAGTGATCTTACTAATGTCACAAAAATTCAAATGATAAACCAACATACTGAGAATCTGAATGCATTCAAGAAAAACTCATTAACTCTGATACTAATGTATTATTCAGATGCATATTAAGGTCTGAATATTTTGAATTATTTGGCTGATTCATTTATGCTCTTGTTCACCAGGTGGACTGAGCTTGCTAAGATGAATGTAGCTCGGTGTGACTTCGCCTGTGCAGAGGTCAATGGGGTGATATATGTTGCTGGTGGATTTGGTCCAAATGGCGAGAGTTTATCTAGCGTTGAAGTTTATGACCTAGAACAGACTAAATGGACATTGATTGAGGGCCTACGCAGACCAAGGTGGGGCTGCTTCGGGTGCAGCTTTGAAGGGAAGCTCTATGTCATGGGTGGCCGTTCAAGCTTCACAATTGGCAACTCCCGTTTTGTTGATGTGTACAATCCTAATAACCATGCCTGGGACCAGGTCAAGAACGGCTGTGTGATGGTCACTGCTCATGCAGTCCTCGGCGAGAAGCTCTTCTGCATCGAATGGAAGAACCAGAGGTCTCTGGCAATCTTCAACCCGGCTGACAACTCCTGGCAGAAGGTCCCCGTGCCGCTTACTGGTAGCTCAAGCACTCGTTTTTCCTTCGGGGTACATGAGGACAAGCTGCTGCTCTTCCCTCTGGAGGAAGAGCCTGGGTATCAGACGCTGATGTATGATCCTGCAGCTCCGATGGGGTCTGAGTGGTGCACATCGAAGCTGAAGCCGTCAGGTTCTTGCCTGTGCAGCGTGACCATCAAAGCCTGATGATGTCCTCGAATGTGTGGGATGTGGCAGTTTTACTATCCTCACATGATGGATCCTGCTTGCCTTCATATTTCAGAGTTCAGATGAGGCTGGCTTTGGTTGGTCTCATGTGCAATCTTGTTTGCTTGAAATTTTAGTTTGCGTGTTGCATCGACAAATAATGAATAGGACATTTATGCTTCAGTTCATTGAGTTGCTGAAGCGTCATGATGTATTCTCATTTCACCTGTATTGAACTCTGGCCGTTTGGGTCTTCAGTTGATTTAATCTTTTTCGCTGGCACTCGCATGATAACGACAGCGCCGTGTTGTCAACTGATGCTCAGTAGAAAGGTTTATGTTGTTGGACATGATTAAGCTGTTACCTTTTCTTTGCCCTGTTCGCTTGGTTGATAAGTCATGGCTGAAAGTACTGTGGGATGATTTGTTGTGACAGAAAAATATTGTTCACTGGCTAAAAAAGTAAATTTCATTAATGAGATGCAGGGTTGGGATTCTGGAGCAGAAAACTGTGCCAGCGCCTACTTGTAGAGCCTTCATTTGAGAATAGATGAGCTGGTCAAGTACATTCCTACTTGTGCCGCCCCGTTGGATTTAATCTGTCTTGATTGATTTCAAGTCTTGATTGATGTCTCATGATGCAGAATGTGCGCCCACGTTTACTTGTATCAGGCCTGTAAATGATGCTAATATCTGGGCCTGGAATAACAGTAGATGTAGTAATGCCGGATCTATATATATCCCAGCCTTTTGCAGTGCATACTGAATCAAATCCGGTCCTCAGAATGCTGGTTTTATTTCGTACAGTTGGATTGTACTGTACGTCGTCTCGTTTCAAGCAATAGCCAAGTCGTCGAACGATGTTTTTTTTTAAGAATTACACAGTACAACGCAAACGGAACACGCACGCACACTTCTATGAACACACACCTCCGAAGAACTGAGCTGGCACCACTGGCTCCTCGCTGTCGAAGACGTGAGACGATATGGTACTGTATATTTATGTATTTCGAATCTGCATTTAGAGTACCATATAATAGCCAATATATATAATGTAAGTCAGATTCTTAGACAGTTGCTGTTTCACCCTGAATCTTCTCCAAGAACGTATCTGGGTGATGTTTCCTCTAACTAGCTCGCTGATGTATTTATGCGAGATTTAGACGCTTTCGGTGTCCAGTATAGGAACGACGGTATATGGGTGTGGATGTAAACAGAAGCAAGTTAACAAATCCTTTTGTTCGTTCTTTCTCCCCGGAGCCGGACAGAAGGGTACCGGACACGACAGCATGCAGCATGCAGCATGCATCATGCATTCTTCATGCGATGGTGACCAGTTTGAGCTTCGCAAGCACCTGCAGACACGCGCCACGCTTATACTGCCCGGCTAGTTAGCTAGCTAGTACCGCATTGGAATTGAATTGCCGATCGCTCATTGTTCGCCGAGAGCCTAGCCTCACTCTCACCTGTAGTGTAGCCAGCTAGCTAGAGCATCGCGGAGATTAAAAGTGGCGGCGGGCATGTCTCCGATGGCGGCGGCGGCGTTCCTTTCCTGCGGCGCCTTCGGTTGCCCGGCAGCGGCGACGCCTCCTTGCCCAGTGAGCAGGAGGAGAGCCTTCTCCTCGGTGGTGGCCATGGCTTCCGCAGCCCAGTGAGCTCTGCCTTCTCCTGCTCTGAATCTTGTTCTTGCCAGGGATTTCAATTTCTTCGTTCTCCCACGTGTTTTGTGTTGTGAAGCTGCAGAGTAATATTTTAGGTACGGTACTCATAGTCAAACATAAAAATGTTTGTTTGACATATAATTAAGGCAATTCTAGACAGATTCAGTATTTGTGACAGGATCAGGAAGTATTTTGAGCACCTGATTTATTTGGTATTGGATACTAGTATAGCCTGTCTGTTTATTGGTGTACACTCAGTTTGTTCACGCCGTAGGTGTGAATGTGATGCTTACAGTACTTACCAGCAGCACCCTAAAAAGCACCAGCCACCTGGAGAGTAATATACTCATCACTCATCAGCCACACCTAATAGTAATCAATAAAAAAATCACCTATCCAAATCATCTCAAGGAAGAAGAAGAAGAAGAAGAAGAAGAACGAACAAAACAAGTAGGAGCGTAGTAGGAATTTGTGTGAGAGATGGATTCTTAGAGACGTGTTAGATGATTGTTATTTGTTACAGGTCTGATGGCTCCAAATTTTTCAGTGATTCAGAAATGTGACTCCTAGCTAGAGATGGATTAACAAGGGTTCCCATGCATGTCTCAATTCAATTTCCTTTTGTGCCGGCCGCTGTTTAGTTTACTAATCTTGCGATGATGAATGGAGGGTGAGAGCTCCGAGCAGGAAGCCGTTCGCCCCTCCTCGCGAGGTGCACCGGCCCGTGGCGCACTCGCTGCCGCCGCAGAAGCGGGAGATCTTCGAGTCGCTCGACTCGTGGGCGGCGGACAACATCCTGGTGCTCCTCAAGCCCGTGGAGAGGTCGTGGCAACCGCAGGACTACCTGCCGGACGCCGCCTCCGAGTCCTTCGCCGACGAGGTCCGGGAGCTGCGGGAGCGCGCCCGGGAGATCCCCGACGACTACTTCGTCTGCTTCGTGGGCGACATGGTCACCGAGGAGGCGCTGCCGACGTACCAGACCATGCTCAACACCCTGGACGGCGGCGTCCGCGACGAGACCGGCGCCAGCCCCACCAGCTGGGCGGTGTGGACCAGGGCCTGGGCCGCCGAGGAGAACAGGCACGGCGACCTCATGAACAAGTACCTCTTCCTCACGGGGAGGGTGGACATGAGGCAGATCGAGAAGACCATCCAGTACCTCATCGCCTCAGGGATGGACCCCAAGACGGAGACGAACCCGTACATGGGCTTCGTCTACACGTCGTTCCAGGAGCGCGCCACCTTCATCTCCCACGGCAACACGGCGCGCCACGCCAGGCGGTACGGCGACACCAAGCTGGCGCAGATCTGCGGCACCATCGCCGCCGACGAGAAGCGGCACGAGTCGGCGTACGAGCGGATCGTCGGCAAGCTGTTCGAGGTGGACCCGGACTACACGGTGCGCGCCTTCGCCGACACCATGAGGAAGAAGGTGGCCATGCCCGCGCACCTCATGTACGACGGCCAGGACGACGCGCTGTTCGCGCGCTTCAGCGCCGTCGCGCAGCGCCTGGGGGTCTACACGGCCAGGGACTACACCGACATCCTCGAGTTCCTGGTCCGCCGCTGGGGCGTCCAGGAACTCACGGGGCTGTCCGCGGAAGGCCGCCGCGCGCAGGAGTTCGTCTGCGAGCTGGGGCCACGGTTCAGGAGGCTGGAGGAGAGGGCGCACGCCAAGGCCAAGGACCCGGAGTTCGCGCCATTCAGCTGGATTCACGGCCGCCAGGTCCAGCTCTGATGATTAAAGATGATGAATGACTGGGATTTGCCAGCAACTTCCTCTTCTTCATCATATGATACTATATAGTCTATATAATTAATGATGATCTGATGAAGCGATCGTTGTAAAATGCAAGCATCAAAGTACATCTGCACTTGTTTTTGATGCTACAGAGCATTGTAAAATGCATGGAGGTCACAGGTCATCGAAGCGATGAAATCTGAAAGATCCCAGTCGCCGGGATATAAAAACATATGCACAGGAAGTTGCTTCAAAGATTCTCAGTAATGTACGGAAGTAGTATGTGAACTCGATCTGATAATTCATGAAATCTGACTGACCACAGACTTGAAATCTACAGTTGGCGCCAAGTAGACACAATTGAGGTCATGCAAAGGAGAAACCAAGCGGTTTTAGTATACATTGTAGTTTTTTTTACGGTTCAAAGGACTCCGAAGAAAGGATTGGTGATGGCAGAATTCAGCTCCGCTCCAGCTGTGTTCAGGATAGCCTTGTCCACTTTTTCCCTTGCCAAAAACAAGAACTCGTTGCCTTCAAGTTTATCAAATCCACAGAGCTCCAGGAACTCTATGCCCCCATGCAGATTTCCAACCCTCTCCTGCAAGGTGGGGTGAATAAACAAACATGTTATCGATCTCATTATTCTTTAACAAGGTCAACAGCAAAGCAAGCACTCCCCCAAATTTCAAGAACTTTTTTTTTACCTGAAATGTAGCATTGGTGAGCCTGATCTTTCTAAATTTCTCCTCATCAGGATTTTTAGCAACGTTTCCAATGTAAGTAAGGAGTGTTTGAAATGCCCTCTTCACTTTGGCATCATCATCCTGTCACAAAAATGGGTGCGTGGTTACATAAATTTCAACGTCAATGGTTGAACATCATGAAATTGGCCCCTACATTTTTTCATAATGTTATGCTTGGAAGTTCATATTAAGCATCAAAATAAATAGCAAAGAACTACAATTAAACAATTCCAAGTCTGTGAAGCCTAATTCTCTTCAGTCCTCTTTAGTATTTGAGAAACTGTGCAGTCCATCCTATATGTACTAGGTCATGTGCAGCATCACACCTCTAGTCTTGTTATATTTTTTCTTATATAAGCACCATGTTTGGAAGACTAATTTGATCATCTAGCACAGGTTTACGATCTGGTTGCCTACTTACAGTTAAAGGCACAGTGTACCTACAAAGCTTACATCTTGTCGCAATTTATTAGTTCAACCTTAAAAAATAGCATGTCCAGTTTTTACATCCAGTCATATTTATTTATACATACACCTAATGAAAAATAAAAGATGACAGCAAATGGATGGATTTCCAAGGCAAATGTGTTAAAAGAAAAAAAGAATAAGTGGATCTCAAGGGACCAACTACACATTGTACCTTGTTCTGTTGCTTAAGATTTCTTAGGCAATCCCTCATCCTCTCGGCCTTTGTAGCTGGCCTGACAGGTAATGCACTCTGCATATTCATATACCACAGCGAGTTAAATAAAAAACAAATGAATTAAGATCAACCTAGTAGACTAGTAAATGAAATAAGTTCTCCTAAGAAGTATAGTATTCTTAACGATTTTCATCTCAGCAGTCCAATAGGTCA